GCTCAGCACCTGACCAGCTCCCTCCATATGTCAAAGTTGTGTGCCAATATCTGAGTATCTGTGAATGATATTCCAGTCCACACAGTGAAACTAAATAAAGTATTTACATATTTGCCATCATCAGTCTCATGACTATGTGTGGTTGTAGGGTCATTGTATTGCTGAGTTCCTGACCAGCTCCCTCTATATGTCAAAGATGTGTGCTATGAGTATCTGGAAATGACCTTCCAGTCCATTCAATGAGGTTGTCAGTTCATTTTCCCTCTGTTTGACTCTTTCTTTTGCTAAAAGTGGTACTTAGTAGGATGGTACTGGAAAGATTGTTGGCTCTTGTGATGCATCCATACCATTTCTTGATGGTGGTTATGAGGTCTTCCAGTATGCTTGTTTCTTGATTGATGGTGTCTCAATCTGCATCATTTGTGATGGGTCTGTGTAGGAGATGACTAGGATGGTTAGGTAGCATCTCATTTCAGATGCTTGGATTCTTGGCTACATATCTCATCTGTCCCATGACCAGATGTAGTCAAAGAATCACCTGCTCAGCTAAACACCTGACCAGCTCCCTCCATATGTCTCAGTTGCATGCCAATATCTGAGTCTCTGTGAATGATCTTCCAGTTCACTCAGTGATGTTGTCAGCCCATTTTTCCTCTCTCTCTTTCTCTCTCTCTCTTGCTTAAAGTGGAACATTGTAGGATGACCATGGAAAATCTGTTGGCTTATAAATTACTGATTTCAAATTCTTTTTATCATTAGTCCGATTTCTGATAATACCTAAAAGAAACACAGCTATCCAGTTTGTCCTGTATCCTGTCCTATGACTAATCATGTTAAATGTGATAGTTTAGCTAATATCTTAGTATGCTAGAGGATGGAAATCACTTCCAGATTGATCATCTTTAAGATAGAGCATTTCTATGCATCATTGCCTTTTTCCAGATGTTTCTTATTGGAATATTCTGAATAATAACTCAGGAATAATCATGATTTAAATGGTGTCAAAACTGTGTCAAGACAACAGTGAATTGAGTATGAATAATATTAATTATGTTCTGAATATGTGATAGGCTATATGGTAGATGGATAATGAGACTCAAAATGTGTTATTTGCCTTTAATTTTGCACTGAAAAAAAATAATATGATTTTAAAATATGAGATTACAATTTGCCAAAAATATTAAATAAATATTCTTAATATCAACTGAAGCATCTTTCTTGAGTTGGAATAAGAAAGCATTTTTGATATCTTAAATTAAGAATACAGTAACAGATGTGTAGAATGAGGAAAATACATTTTCACAATGTTGCCATACATTATCAGAGTCAATATGATTAAAAATATATTACCTTTCTTGATTAACAAATTTTAAATATTCGATTAATGACTAGGACATTTTTTCTTTCTTTAAACATATTTATTACATTAAATTCAAGTCTTATAAAAAAATCTGTTTATACAAGTTTATAACCTTTCTTTGCTTCTTTTTGTTTTTTCTTTGTTCTTTTTTTAAGCATTTCACCCCAAGCAAGCCGAGAGTGTCACTAGTACGCAAGTGGCTACAGAGAATGAAAGTAAGGGAAAAGACTGGGTAAAGAGAGGATTGAGGAAAGGATAAAAAGAAGAACAGGAATCAAGGCATCAGAAGATGCCGACTGACATTACATTTAAATTTTTAAAAATTATACTTATCAGGGAAGCAAGTAAGAGGAAGGGAGTTCTTCTGTTGGGAAGTGCGAGAGAAGAAGCAGTTGGAGTAGAAATGGCAGTTACATTTAACTATTTTGACAGTAAGAGGGTGGGACCGAGATGCCAACCTAGTAGTATGCTTAAATTCATGCAGCCAGGGTACCAGTGAAAATAGCTTGTCAAAGCAGATGCCATGAAAATATTTATAGAAAAGACAGAGGGAAACCACATTACGTCAGTGAGAAAGCGACTGGAGTTTTTTTTTTGTTTAAATTTCCAACCTGAACAAATGTCCTTTTTTCTTTTTTTAATATTATCTGTTATTTTTTTTTATTTTTGTTACAACCAGTACTCGCATTAACAAACGAAGATTGAAAGGGTCAGAATATAAATATTTAATTCCTAAACATTGTAATTTCTTTATAATATTACTAAATAACTCTAAACAGCAATTGTTTTTTTTTTTTTTTTTTTTTTTTAAATGTGGGACGGTTCTCTTTTTGGGGGGACGGTTCTCTTTTTTGTGGGGACGATTCATAGAATGCCACATTTGACTTGAACAGAAGAACAAAGTAACTAAAAAAAAACATTTATTTATTCAGTAATTTATCCCTCTCCTTCATAAGGAGAGAGATAAATTACTGAATAAATAAATTCACCATAGCTTGTTACGTTGAAAATAAAAACAAATTCATTGCTATTAGAAATGCTTTCAACCAAAATTTATTCCAAATAACTTCACATCGTTTTCTTTTCTGGGTGATTCGATCTGATTGATTGGTTATAAAATGAGATGATGATGATCAATAATAAAAAGGACATTTTTTAAGTCAATAATCTCCAAATCAATAATGACTATGACCCAACAAACCAAACAACAAACTGAATATTATTAACTTTAACAAAAGAATTTTTAACGGACTTTTGATTGATATCTAAAATTGCCAGTTTTTATATATATATATATATATATATATATATATATATATATATATATATATATATATATATATATATAATATATATATATATATATATATATATATATATATATATATATATATATATATATAATATATATATATATGGAGTTGGATATATATAAGGAAATGAACTCAGGTGGTGTTGGAGACATAAAAGAAAGAAAATCATTTCAAGGTGTGTTCATGATAGCTATGAATTTTTCAGATATTTAAAGTAACAGCTGTATCTTCCTTTTTCTTTTAAGCCTACAAAATTATTTTTTTAATTAACATAAATCTCCCGAACATTAAAAAATATCAAAAAAATTATTTCTCTAATATTTTAAAAAAGCTCATTCGTGAAAAACATTTAAATTTTTAAAACAAACACATACGCGCATAAATTTTAGATAGAAAAAAAAAGAAAACATTTCATTTCTTCGGTCACTTTCCAAATTGTAAAATTACTGTCAATGTTTACAAGTGCATTTAAAAATAATTTAAAAAGTGTTTGTTAAACCTCAATTTGACATTTTAAAAATTTATTTTTTTAGACTTGGAAATTGAATTTTATTTTACTCATGCAAGTTTATAGTTATAATTTAACACTGCTAATCACTGAATCAGTATGAATTTTTTAAGGATTCTCTTTTGTAGTAATGAAAAAAGTTATTTAATAAATAAAATAAGCAATAATTTCATCAGAACTGAGAAAAAAAACAAAAAAATCAGTAGAATCAGTTTTTTTTTTTAAGAAAGGCAATATTTCTTGCTTGTTTTTTTATTTCACTGAACTGAAAGGTAAACTTGAGAAAGTTCCAATTTTGTTTTTTTTTTAGTATTTGCTGAGAAATTAAATAAATTTATTAAAACCTGGTTGTGATAACTTTAAAATTATTTAAAAGTAAAAAAAAAAAAAAAATCGTCTTCACATTTTTCTTTTTAAACAAAAAAGCATATAGTAAAAATTTAAATCTTAAAAAATTGTATAAAAAATACATTCATTCACAAATGCCCATTTTTATTTGTAAAGCAAAGTACTGACTACTGAGTTTATTATTTAAACATTTTTCTATAGATTTTTCTTTTTAAGATATGATAAAACCTTAAATAAAAACTTATTTATTTATTTACTTAGATTTTTCACTTTTGTCGTGAACTTGTAATGACTTACTTTCAAACTGGCAAAAAAAAAAAAAAGAAGCATAACACATAATGTAAAATAAATGGATAACGAAAGAAAAGGTTTAAACAGACAAGTTTGGAAAAATGAAGAACACAAATAAAAAAATTTTATATTAAAATAATTGTGTTGCTTTCATTTTTCCAAATTTGGCTGTTTGTAAAACTTCTTTTGTTATCCGTTTATTTTACTTTAAAATAAATAAAAAACCTAAAGCATTAATTTATAATCGAAATAAATTTAAAAATAAATAGCTTTTTGAAATTTTCCACACAAGTAGTGATGAATTTTTTTTTTTTATCATTATGATGGAGGCGGGGAAACCTTACAAGATTTTTCTTTAATAACACATGTCTGTGAAAACAAAGAAAAAAATATTTTCAAAACAAAGATTATAAGATTATATTCCATCTGAAATCTAGGGTTCAGAGTCAGACATTGAAATTATTTCAAATACAGTGTAACCCGGATATAAGAGAGTTGTCGGGACCGGAGAAGTGTCTTATATCCGGGTGTAATAAAAAACTTTCAAACAATCCGCTAAAAATGTTTAAAAAAAAAAAAAAAAATTATTGGGTTGGTGCATAATTATCAGGCGTTTTTGTAATAAAAAAAAAAACTGTTTTGCTTCTTACTTTTTTAATAAAAATATTGTTTTATTTTCAGGTTATAAAAAAATGCGTGTCGATATAGTAATAATCTACATACGCTCCGGAACAATCATTTAAAAAATGTTATTGGTGAATTATGTTTCTTTTTTTTCATTAAAAACGCCTGATAATTATGCACCAACCCAATAATTTTTAAAAATTTAGATGTGGTTGTGCAAATTACGAACAAAAACTTTAAAAGTTTCTCAGATATTCTGTGAAAATGAAGTGAAAGTTGAGTTTGTGCTTGACTCTCAGACAGAAACAAAACTTCACAGCCTCAACAGTGAATTTGACATGACAAAAACAGTTATGGTTCAGGTTACTTAATAGTTCTATTCTACTTGTGAACTAGAGTACCTGCATTCTTTTGTAAAGTAGGGAAGGTGAAAGACTGAAACATATAGTATAATTATTATATAGCCATACAAAGCAAAGTTTCCGGGTCATTATTTTTCTCTCTAAATGATTTTTTTTTTTTTTTTTTTTGACAAAATACGAAAACATAAAAATAATTATTCGTTTGGTTTTATTAACAAATAATAAGTCAATATTATAAAGAAAAGAAAAATCGTTTTCGAATGAGAAAGAAAAAAAAAGAGAGAGAGAGAGAGAAAAAAAGACTGAAGTAGAAAGAAAGAAAGACAAAGAACAAAGTAAGGGATCGAAGGAAAAAAGAGAAGAAGAGAAATAATGAAAGAGAAAGAAAGAAACAAGCAGGTAAAATTTAGGTGTGTACAGGTTTGATGTCGAGGTTACATAATGATACCGACATCAAACCTGTACATTGTCATTTATTAAACATTTTCGATTTTTGACACATAGTTCGCAAAATAATCTGATAAAAAAAACAAAAAAACTTGTTTTTCTTTATTAACGGAAAAGCTTCATGGTAAGGTCGAGAAGTTTTCAGCACTCCAAGTAACCCAGCATTGGCTAGTTCAGCACAAAAAAATATATCAATTAACCAAAAAATTATCTCAAGTAATTATTATCTAGTTTAAACTAAAGTATCCTGTTTATAGTTTATTTATTATTTGGGGCAGACTTTTCTTTTTTTTTTCTTTTTTTACACTACCAACACCATAAAAAAACTAAAAAGCTTTGTGGTGTTAGAGATGAGGGATTTTTATTGACTTAAAAAAATAAATAAATAAAATCACTAGTAAGTAAAAAAAAAAAGTAAGTGTGTCTAAGTCTTACAAACACAAAGTACACAAATATACAGCCTCTTTTTTATTTCCATGTATAAGCGATATTATTGTTTTAAAACTGAAACAAGAAGAGTAAGACAGTGGAAATTTTTAAACATTTTTAGAGTAGACACTGGGAATTTTTCTTTTCTTGCTTTCTTTTTTTTTTTTTTACATTATTGAGTTTGAGGAAAAAAATACACATACATAGATTTTTCTTTAATAACACATGTCTGTGAAAACAAAACAAAAAAACGTCAAGAAAAAAATATTTTCAAAACAACCATCCCGCGATTATGAGTACTAAGTAAATTTAACAACACAAATCTGAAGGTTGTTGCAAGGGAATAAAAAGGGGAGTAAGCAGTACATACTATGGGGATAAGTAGGGCAGATAATAGTTGACTATAAATTTGAAGAGTTTAAGATCGTAGTGATCAAGAAAGTACCTACCCGGGAGTCAGTTCCATAAAGTAAAAGTTCTGAGGAAGAAAGTGTCTTTACCAATGAAATACGAAGGGAATAAGGATGATTCGATCCTGTGTATGTGTAATGGCGGCTCATAGCCGTGAATGAACAGGTGGAACTAAGGAATGTAATTCGTCTGAAGGCTGTAAATCGCCAGTAATGGCAAAGACAATGATAAAACAAATAAACTTTTCTTTTTAATTCTAACTTACCTTTATTGTGTGGTTTTTGTTGTCCAACATTGCCGTTAGAGTTGTTAGTATCATCCACATCATGTAAAAACTCCAACGCAGTTGAAAACCTATTCTGTTTACAACACTCCGGTTCAGAATCCCTGCCAGAAAACTTTTGTTCGATAACAATTCTGGAAGGATCCGTATATCGACGCCTGTCATTTATTTCCGAACTTGGAGCTGGATACTGTTGCGGTTTTGATTGTGGTTGAGCGTGTTGTTGACGTACGGTGAGAGGGGATGCCGGACTGGCTGACCTCTCGGAAGAGGAACCCTTCGTTCTCCGTGTGATAGTTGTTGTGGGTTTTGAAACCCCTTCGGAAAAGCGATGTTCAATAACAATACGCTCAACATCTTCATCATTGCAATTATTGTTAGTAGTAGAGGGTTCGTCAATGTGTAACACTGTTTGGTTTGTGTTTGTTGGAGTAGTCGGTTCATCGCCATTTTCATCAAAATCGTCTGTAAATCGTAACACCCGTCTGATAGGGGGAGAGTCGCGTAATTCGTCTTCATTGATGTGCAATAGAAGAGGGCTATCTGTTCGAGGCCTGGGGACAAACGATGGACCTGTAGGTGTTCTTGGGGAAGAGACTGACGAACATGTTGGGGACGAGCAAGGAGATGAAACATGTTCAATTTTTAACTCCAAGGGTTTTGTCTTGATTCCGGGACTTCGGGTCACCTCAGGTGAAAGATGACGGACTGGCGATGCAGGAAGGGGTGGACGGCGTTGGATTGCAATTTCAACGGTTTTTCTTGGAGTACGAAGCTGGTTTTCGGATTGGTGTTCTTGGTAAGGCGGTGGTGGTATGTTTTCGTTATGAGCTGGAAAGACAGGCGACTGTTCGTCCGCATCTCTTTCAGGCAAGCACTGGGTATTTTCGGGGAAAATATTACTGTTGCGTTTTATTTTATTGAATAAATAATCCCAATCACTAGCGGAACCGCGACTCCGTCTTTCCCGAGGCGACTGGCCTTCATATCCGGGGAAAAGATCTGCGAATAAATCACAATTGGATCGACGATTGAAATCATCTGCAAATGCCCTTGACCGACGCTTTAATTTAAAATTAGCAAATTCCCTTTCGAATTCTTTAAAATCTTCGTCGTTGTTAAAGAAGTCTGAGAATGTATCGTCTCCTCCATGGAAGAAACCACCGACCTCATTATCTGCGGCCCCACTGTCACCTGCACGCACCATCAACTCCGTCCTGGGTGTTGGTTCCCTGCTACCTCCACCCGGCCGGTGATCCACATGGATGGGAATAGGGGTGCAAGATCCAGAGCCGACAGATGATTCGATTCCTCTGGACGAATCGACATGGATAGGAATCGGCGCAGCAGATCCAGAACTGGAACTGCTAGGTTCGATTCCTCTGCTTGCAGGTCGACTGCTGTCGCCATCCTCGTCATAATCATCGACTCGTCGCAGACGATTAAACACATCGAAGTCGCGACCGAGATTAGCAAACTCCCGCTCAAACTCCTGGAAATGTTCGTCACTCTTGAAAAAGTCCATTAACATGTCATGGGGAGCGGACGTGGTTCTTAAAGATGGCGTAAGGTGTTGATAAGAGGGTAGGTTCCTCGGTGAATGTCGTTTCACTAAAAAAGATCCATGTTTGTTACTATTGTCAGACGACGGAGAAGACGAAAAGAAACTATTTGGATTGTTCTCGGTAAGAGAGGAGAAATTGCTGGAAGTCGGCGAAAACTTCGACAAGTTGGTAGCAGATGAGGAGTTGGGCGAATATTTTGTATTTTCTAAAATGTCCGTACCTGTAATCCGTCCCAACTTATCGGCGTTAAGACGCGAGAAAGTTATATTTCTTACCACTTCTCTTCTGTCATTTTGGTTACTATCACAGTTTTCTTTTTCTACTTTACAAAAATTACTCTTATCACGATTCTGGGTAGGGAGATGCTGCTGATGATGATGATGACTATTGCGGTTATCAAGGCGATCCCTTCTCGTTACAAGCTCAGGGATATTGTCATCTGAGGTAGCGTCGCTATCTGAAGATGTTTCCCGGGCATACAATCTCCGAAAGTTTGACGAAGAAGAGTCAGAAAGTCCAGATGAAGTTTGTATTGATGGAAAACTGTCTTCTAAAATCGGACAGTCCCTTTTTTTAAACAACTGAAAATCTCTCAAGTCCTGTTTAAAATCTTCGAAATCCCGTTCGTCTTGAAATCCATAACTGAAACGTTTTAAAGCTGGTGATTTTAGGAAATCGTTGTACCCCAATTTAAGTATATCGTCAGGAGAGAACCTTGCCCGACCAACCCGACTACTGTTGCTGCTCTGGTAACCGACACTAGAAGCAGAAGTGTTATTATCACTCAAATATCCACTATTGCTTCTACTACCAATGCTTGAGTTGGTAGCAGTTAAGCCGTTCCCAGGGTAAGCTGACGGAGAGTGGGAGATGAGCTCTGAAGAGAGGGGTGATGATATTATATTGCTAGGGTTGTTATTATGATGGTCGCAGTCATGCCAAGTTTGTTGTTGGCATAAATGAGTATCTGAACCGAATGTTGTATAGGGAGATTCTATTTGAGAGTCTTGATTTTCAGGCCGGTGATGGTGATAATAGCAGTGGAAGGGAGAAAATCTGTCCCTGTGTGTGTTTTTAGAGTTTGTATTATAACTACTACTACTGCTACACAGATGACACTGATGGTAATGGCTACTACATTGTGGGTCAGTTGTTGTTAATGCTGCTGGTGTTGTATCGTTGTTGACACAAATTGAGGGCCCAACATAACGACATTCATTAGTCCTGGGGGAGCCGTTGTGGCCATACGACGAATTACAACAACAGCAAATTCGTTGGTGCTGTTGTTGGCAGTGGCAACCGGCATTCGTATTGGCTATGTGTTTGTTATGATGGTGTGCAGGTAACCTGAATTCGTTAGACCGACGACTAAAATATCCACTATCTTCACTCATTTTATCCCATCAGAGGAAGGGCAGGGGGGCGCACGCACGCAACCCCACAGACCTCCTCTTGCAAATTTTCTATCTTCTCCTCAACTCACTTCTGCAACTGGCGACTATGATGTAAGAAAAAAATTAATATGAATAATAATAATTAGAACTAGGTATGGTAGCAGGCAGCCAATATACACAAGAAGAAAAAGAAAGAAAAAAAAACCTTACGTGTAAGTACACACACACAGTAGCTGCTACTTAATACGGTTGGTAAGAAGGAACTTGCTAAGGATGGCAAAGAATAGTAGAAGTAGTAATTGGTGAAGCTGTATTTTTTTCAAAAGAAAAAGAAGACTACAGAGACTATCATTATCTTTTGTTGGGTAGCATAGTTGTGCGCAAACCAAGAGAAGATAGGTTTTCTTGGTAGTAAAGACAACAAAGTTCTCTAACACTTCGAACCTAACTCGAAGAGTGTTTGGAAGATGAAGATGACAAGGAAAAAAGTATTAAAGGAGGAAAACGGTATGTTCTGAGCCGGCAGCCTGTCTTGATTTTTTTTTTTAAAAATAAATATTAATGTTGTTGTACTGTTTGTTCTCCAATAAAGCATTTTAAAAACTTTCTTAAAATTTTAATGATTGAAAAATTAGTTCGCCGAGTGATATACTTGCTAAAACTTCAACAAGTTCAGTAGTAACGATGAAGTTTTTTTTTTTTTTTATCTTTGTATAAAACTTGGCTGTTATAAACAACTGACGTCTGTAATACAATCTTGGCCAATGATTGATTCTTCCTTTATCAAAAAGATCAATCTTTCTTTATTCATGATGCAAAAATGTGATAGAATCATTTGGGTCACTAGGCAAAAGCCCCCACCCACACCCAGCAAAAAAAAAGAAAATAAATTTGAGATCTCAGATAAAAAAAAAAAAAAATTTAGGTGGGGTTGTTAGTTTTTAAATAAATAATATTTTTGTAAAGAGGAGGCTAAAAAAAAAAAAAAAAAAAAAAATCACAATTTGTGTCGATCTAACTAAATTATTTAGAATTTTTGTATCAATCACTTGAATATTTAGTATCTCATTTGTACTTTTCTTCTGAATTATTTCCAATAAGAAACACTAACAGTGAAAATAAGACGAACGATCAAAAAATCCTTATGACGAAATGTCTCGACTTCTTTTCTTTTTTCCACATATAAACAAAAACAAACACTATTTTCTTGGGTTAGCCAACCCAAATTTTTATAAAAGGATAAAAAAACATTCTTTCTTCAAAATGACATCAATTAATTTAAAATTGTGGCTAATTTTGAAAATACATTAAAAAGACAAAAGTAAAACCAACCGGTTATAAAGTACTTAAAAAAAATAAAAATAAAAATAAAGAAAGAAGTAATTTACAGACAAGAGACAGCAAGGATACAACAAATCATGGGTTGATAAAAACAGAAAACTTGTATAGGTGCACGAGTTGAGAGATTTCTATAAGAGGATTTCTTTTTTTTCTATTTTTAAAATATCATTCATTCCGTAATGTGTTTGGTGGCGCTGTACTTAAAGGTAAAACACGTAGAGTCATTTAATTAAACACTAATGAATAATTATCATGAATAAAAAATAAAAATATACTAAGTTCTTAGAAGCCTAAAAAGAAAATGATTTTGTTTTCTTTTTTTTTTTTTCCTTAATATTTTTGTAAATAAATATTCACATTTTTGTAGATCCAATAATGAATGTTTTTCGTTGACCAGCTGTTGTGGTTGAAATCGAACAGAAAGGTACAAATCCAATAATAATAATAATAATCGTCTCTAGTGGTGTCAGGATGTAAGATATCTGGAGCACTCGGTCAACGGTGGTCGTCCGTGCCTGTGTAGTAAAAGTCGTATTAGTAGTTTCCTTTTCTTTTGAATAGACAATAATACCAATTAAGTGTCGTTAGATACGTACATAGTAAAACTAGTAACTGATACTGTAATTTATAGGAAATGACTCAAAGCAATTGACACACCTTTTTGGAAAAGAAAACTAGAATATTTTCCACAGGTAAGTCAGAGTGCTAAAATCGTATGGATTCAATTTTTATTTTGACTTTTTTTTCATTCATTTTTTTGTTTTTTTTTGGTTCGTTTTAAAATTATTGGTCACTTATTTTATTATATTTACTTTTTTTTTTTTTTTTTTTGTTGTATTAAAAGATAGATTCCAGGGAAATTAATAAGTTGACAAGTCGTTTGTTCTCCAAAATCAAGATGAACAGGGAAGAAAAAAATCAGCGATTTTGATTTTTGTTCCGTGGTCAGAAGATTTGAATGAATGAATTTAAAAATGAATGAATCGAACTGTCTATTTTACGTCGTCAACAGATGTGACCGAAAAAAGTAAAGTAATTATTTTTGTGATCTGACTTTTCGATTTAAGTGGAACTTCCTTGCTTAATTCATTTTTTTTTTTTTAAACAATAAAATCTGACAGGACTTGAGTTGGTTCTTTCTCCCTCTCTTGCATTTGACGAGTGATGTCGACTTTTTTGAGAGTTTTGTTTTTTACCACAGAACGGGGGAAAATAAAAATAAAAAGTCCATTCATATCGAGAGCAACAAAATCTCACTGTTGTTCAACTAGTTTCTATCAACAGAGAGGGTCCTTCATTGCAAAACAGCACACGAACAGATAGACCCATATCTGTAAAAAAAATATAGGATGATGATGGGTGATGTTTTCTAAGTAGGAAAAGACGCGGGGGAGGATGTTGAGCGGTAGGGGACGGGAAGATGTTAAACACCAGAGATGATAAAAGAAGAAAAAAAGAAAATTTGTTAGTGTTAGTTACGTCTCTCTCTATCTATCCGTCTCTCGTCCGGCCGATCTCCAAACAATTTATAATGCCATGGTGTGATCATGGCTACAAAAGTAATTATTAACCCGCTTTCGGCTTTACTCTCTTTTTCTATCTCACTTCTCCCACCTCACTCATCAATGCTAGATCTTATTTCAGTATCTATATATCTAAGGATACTTGAATTAAACTTAGTCTATCTCTCTCTTCCTCGTGGTAAGGGAGAAAGGTAGTTTATGTCACAGTATCCGTCTATTTCTCATCATTAGCAAAAAAAAAAAAAAACTGTTACCTTACCTATTAAAAAATAGTTGTCTTGTAACTTTGAAACTGTAATATCGGCGAATTTAACCTTTTTTTTTTTTTTTTACAAACGTAAAAATAAAATATTCAAATGTTACAAAAAAGTTGATGACGTCTGAGAAAAAGGTTGAGATTTAAAATTGCACCTCTACTTCCAGACCAGATTTTATTTTGCTTTTTACAATCTATTCAGCAATTAGTAGACTTTTTTTTTTACCTAGGTGACTAGGTCCTACATCAGTTTTAGATTTTTTAATACAGCTATAAGACAGAGGTAGTAATTTGTTTATTTGAAACTTAGTTGACCATAATAGAAAGTTTGTGTCAGATTGACGTTCAATATGTTTTCCAGCTTTACTTAGACTGTGTACAAAAATCTTTCAATAGTTTTCTTAGAGTTGGCTCCAACTGAAATAACCAGAACAATTTGATACCAGGTCGATTTTAATTTTTAATTTTAAATTTAACACAAGCGACAAAAACGGCTGACCGAAGTAGTAAAGCCTTTTAAATTCTGTTAATCAATCAAAATAATAAAAAAAAATATTCAAAATTCTTAAGTTTAGAAATCAATATAAAGTTTTTCAAGTTTTAAATCAGAAAGATGTTGATTTG